AGTTTTAACTAAATACCCATTTGTTTGGAAAAAATCCCTATTTATATGGATTCTTTAAGATATTTTTGGTATATATAAAAAAAACAAAACTAAAAAAAAAACAACAAAGATGAGCCATTTGATTTCCCAAAAAAATCAATAGCAATAATTTGGTAGTTATTAGTAAATATTTAGTGCGCATAATTTATATGCATTTACGTAATTTTTTATTAAAGTTAATGTGAAATCAATAATTGATCTAAATCTATTGATTAAAATTTTCAAAAATTTTCAATCAATTATTTTGTTTCTACTTAATTTATTTTTATTTTTATTGATATGCTATCATAAGATTTGAAAAAATATTGGTCAATAAGATTAAAAATTTGTAATTTAATTCTACAAAATTAGTTGATAAATTTGAACGATAAAGTAACCGACAACAACTTTAGGAAATTACGAGATTATATATATAATATATTCATACATCAAATATATAAGGGAATTTAGTGTGTAGTCCAAATTTGAGTTCTAAATTCATAAGTCAAATAAGTAATTATTCATAACTAACGAGTCAACATTAACTTTGACGACGTAAATGAAATAGTCAATTATAAATTACTTAACCACTTCAATTTTTGATTCGAATATTTCATATAAAAACAAAATCATCAAATTAATGAAACATTAAATGATTTATAAATATACTTATTATTCACATATATTTTTAAATAGACGAGAAAAATTTACAACTTACCTATAAATTCGATTTTAAAAGATTCGATGGTGTTTTTTATTCCAAACAATCTGATTGCCGAAAATTTTTCCTTAGAACTTGAATTGAAAATTTGAAATTCAAAATCCCTTCTCATTTTAGTTGTCATAAAATTAGGTTTAATTTAAAATCTCTTCCTAATATAAAGGATTTTGTTCAAATTGAATTTCAAAAATATTTAATCACATGCTTCTATACATATCCTTAAATGAAGGATTTTGTGCCGCTTTAAAATTAACAAACCTATTGGAAATTATAAAAATCATAATGAATTTCCATTTTTTTGGTTTCAATATGCACGAAATTCAAAATGGTTTAAGAATTTCAAATCAATTGAAATTCATCTCTTTTATTTTTTTCCATAAGTTTTCAAAATTTTACAATAATTAAGTCAAATTACAAATGCATTGTTTCAAAAATCAAGCGGATAATTTTGAAAATAGGCAATTTTTTTTTTCAAAATTGTCTTAGTCTCCGTTCAATAAATCTACATAAAGCGTGGAATTTTATGTCTACAAAATTTCTTTTCATAGTAACTAAAAAATAATAATATTTTTAAAATTTTTGTGCTCAAATTACTTAAAAGAATAATAATAATAATTTTGAAATTTTTTGTACTCAGATTACTCAAAAGAATAATAATAATAATTTTGAAATCTTCTATACTCAAATTTTACGGTAGTATCGTCATTATTTTCAGCACCATGTCAATATTTATTTTATATATACTAGGTAAATTTTCTTTCAAAAACTTTATAATCTATTTATTTAGGCTTATAATATTTTATCATGTCATATTCAGAAAACATCTTTCATACAAATGTAAACTTTAATATTTTAGATATATTTTCCTTACAAAATAGTTTAGAAAAGTTGTAGGTGACTTCACATCTTTTAATAATAATATAGAAAATTTTAAATAATTTTACATATGTTAATTCAATATTTTAGGAGTTTTCAATTGTTTAAATATACAAATGTTATGTTCTCTTGAACAAACTAATTTTATATAGTTTATAATAAATTGATATACCGTAAATTATATGACATGTTAACCCCACATCGTCAATTTATAGTTATTATTTAATATCGTTTACCCTCATCTTTAATTTATAATATATTTTCTTGCTCTTTTAAGAGAGGATCAATAGTGGTTCCTCACTTCTTTCATTGGGTGACTCGAACTCGATACTTATTTATAATTATTATTTAATATCGTTTACCCGTGCATCGCACGGGATACGCACTAGTTAGACAAAATGAATAAACCAGAAAATAAAGCATTTAAGGCCCTTTTTCACTGCATGACCCATAATGTTAATCACTTACTAAATGTGGCTGGAATGAGTAATGAACAAGTTTAAGAAAGAAAAAAGTGAAATTTGAAACGGAAATTAAAGCATATATCTAAACTATTGTGACTACATGAGGTTTTGTTTGTTGCACGCAATTTGTTTCATCTCAGTGATTTTATAAGATCGTTGATGAACATACCTACGCAATTATATGTCTACCCAATGTGAAATTCTGAAAATAAAAACGGTTCTACTTAAATTTTGCCACATAATCATTTCAGATAATGACAAAAAAAAAAAAAAAATGTTTGTTGTATATGGTAATTTACTCGGCTGATATATTTGGTTTTATTTTTTTTCGTAAAAACTGCAGCTAAGATGAACTATATGTTGCGTTTATAGTCAACAAAATTTTTAACTCTCGGGTGTTTCCAATGAGAAACAGATATTGCGTTTATAGTCAGTATATATTCCGTATATGCTGCTTTTTTTATTTACATAACATTTTTATATAACCAGAATTGTGATATATGAATTTTGGTTCAGTATATAACATGATGCAGTTTTTATTTACATAACTTTTTTATCTAACAATTGACAATTGTGATGTTTGAATTTTTGTTAGTATATTGCATTTATAGTCAATATAAGTATATGTCGCAATTTAATTGACATGATATTAATGTTTAAATTTTTGTTCATTATATAGCGTGTCATACACATATCATAAACTGATCATAATCATTATTTTAATAAACTATTTTAGTGTATGATACAAATACAAAGGTCAGTAGCTTGAAAAACATGTCAATCAATTGAAAACTATGAATGGAAAAAACATAAAATAGTAATGGTAATTGAAAAACTATACATCCTAACATAACCAGAATAAAATTATTGATTATATATATATATCATAAACTACTCATTAACAATAGAGGCGTGTGAGAAACAAACAGTAAAGCACACTGTCGATGAGAACCAAATGCATCAGGTAAATAACGACGACTAAACGCATCTAATGCAAACTCAAGACCACCATGGATCACAACAGAGCGATGCCAAATAATAGTCAAAATCTTTTGACAAAATCAAAGAATCAGAAGCCTATCAATTGAATAAAAACAAATGAAGCACGGGCCTGGTGAAAAACACACGAAGCACGGGCCAAAGAAAACATATACTGAAAATATACTACATATACACGCAACATATATTGCCGACATCTTCACAAGCCCGCGCTTCGGGCCTCTTCTTCGTCATCTCCAACTTGACCTTCCTGCTGGAAAGGAAGAGGGGAGGGACGCTCAGTCCTTGGAGTCCATCGTTTTCTGTAAAAAA